GGTGTATTAAGTGTTCAATCATGCCTCCTGCTCCTTCATTTACAACGCAGAACATATGTCAAACGCTTGATATGTAATTTCATTTTATTCAGTCTTTTTTCGGGGTCAAAGACTCAGTGAAAAAAATACGTTTCTGATTAATATTTTAGCCTCTAGTATAGGAAGTAACACAAGAACAATGTCAGCTATTATATAAACATTAATAATTAATGTCTAAAGTGCATATTATAATGTGTTTGATTGAAGTTCAGTTGCGTGTGAATGATTTTATCTGCGTGCATGTGTTCTCACTATATGGAGCCACTGAGTATGGGCTGCTGAAGCAAGATGTATCACCTCCCCCCTCCCCGACTTTATATCTCTACCCAGCCGGCCCCCGGCAGATGGGTTCCCCCCCTCATGAGCTGGGTTCTGCTCAAGGTTTCACCTTGCAGGGGGTTCACGCTCTGGGTTCTGTTCAGCATCTCGAGACGATTTCAGTTATTATTGGCACTACATGAATGGAAATGAGTTATTTTACAGAGCGTATCTGGAAGCGGAAGTGTAGCTTCTGTGTATTAATGCAATACACGGACTAGACAAGAACCAAATTAGTGCCCGACTGCGATTACAAGCGCTCACAGACAACCCCCTACAAAGTAACTGAGAAAATGATCCAGAGACTGCCTGATCCCTCAGATCCAACCTCACACAGAACAGTCTGCAGGGTCCACCCTAACTCATTTATATGCCAGTGATTTGCACCCAATATGGCTCACAGTTCCTGAATCGCTCTTGGACATCTACTTTAGACGACCGACCAGCCTTAATCCACGTGCAGCCTTTCACTGTGTCCGAGACGCTACCTGCCTGCTCCGCACACACACAGCAACACTCCAGACCACACCCAAAACCTGCCAGCCACGCTCTGGTCACGTCTGCTGCCGTGTGCAGTTAATTAACCCCAATTAATCACTTTTTTTGTCATGTTCCTTTCCCTGTTTTCATTAGGCTGAACCATGTGGGGATGCTGCTGAAGGATTTATGTATTTTGATCTCTGCATTTTCTTCCCTTGAGATTTCTGACACATCATACGTGATGTTTTTGCAGCATATTAAGATCACAGGTTTTTTTTAAAATAGAAATCTTAAAACAGATACTTCCTCTCATCATTGTCATCCTGTTGCAACTCGGAGAACTCGTAGCCTGTTATGTGCTCCACATCTCGGCAGGATGTCTGTTAGTAGAGAGTTTGCTGTGTCATGGGAGGACATATCCAGGCATCATCTCCGCTAACAGCATAAATGAATAAATTGCTGATATGGCGTGAGGGTGCAGCACAGTGGAGCCATGGTGGAGTGCTCGTCTGCCTGGCGGGCCGTGTCCTGCGGGAGCCCCAGGCGACCAGCAGGTGGATTAGAGACCCACTGTGGGCTGCAGATGGTGCACGGCCTGGGTTGGAGGAGGGAAAAAAAAAAAAAAAAAGGGGATGGAGACGAACAGTCATACAAAGACCGCCACCCCCCATCTCCCATCGACCCGCATGATTCCGCTGCTACAGAAGAATCCCCAGTTGTGGGGCTGGAGCGAGGGATGGAGGAAGGTGGGGGAATTGTCTGCGCACAGCTGGGTTACAGCATCAAGGCCCGCGCCTCAGGGAAAGGCAGAATTTGCTCTTAATGGAGAGCGAGTATACCCTGTGACCTCAGCTTTGGTCTTTTCCCCATGTGGTAATTTCTGTTTCCCTTAACCTCTTGACATCTTTTCCCTTTGTGCCGCCGACTGTCTCATCGTCTGCTTCTCACTTCTGCTTGCTTGTCAGAGCTCAGGCCGCAGCTGCTGAACGACGTCTGTCATGTCTGTTTGTTGGAAATGAAAGTTTATTTAAGGGCAGGGACAGAACTCAGACAGCTTTGCTCTCCTCCCGTAACCTCAGGGGAAAAGGGCTCCAAATCCTGTTTGAAAAAAAGCAAACTGACGTATATTCTTTCTGCTAATCCATAAACACTTACCTCCTAACAAGCAGGTCAGCGACTGTGTGCGTTCAGCAAAGCCCATATAGCGTAATTGTTTAATAAAGAGTGGGAGCCACATATAATTGCGTGTATTAAGGGGACGGATGTGCAGCAGTGTTTGCAGCAGTAACGATGCACTTCAGCGAGGTGGGACAGGATAATTGAAAGCTCTCTGTTTATCTGGGGCTGTGCAGCACCTCACATAGGTCCCTAATTATCTTGTCACCCAGAGATAATTCAGATGACAGACACACACACAAACTAATTTGCTGCCACTAATCGATACGCGTCTGAAGGTGAAATCTATACATAGTAACGTAGCCTTTACATGTCTCATAGGTCCCCATATGTTCCTGGGATTCCTGTTAAAATGGATTCCGGTTGCATCAGGGTTTATTTTACAGAAAACAGAAAGGAAGAGATGGAAAATAGTATGGATTTTGCTTGCACGCACATGGAAAAATCTTGGGTTGTGCGAGTGATTCAGCAACCTCGAGGGAAAATGTGCCATGGCTCAGGCTTTGTGCATGATCTGAAGACATGCAGGAGATGTCGACTTCTAGAATAAGTCTGGCTGATGGTATACATCATAGGATTTAGTATGATACATATGTGCACTGCTGCTTCGTTATCAAACCTCAATGCTTCACTTGACTTATTAGAAATTAATGGGCAGAGTGCAACGGAATTCACTGAGCGCATTTATTTTATTCCTTATAATGAGCAGAGCAGCCTTATTCACCATTAGTTTTATTTCATATGAGAGGTCAAAGAAGGGCATTTATAACACAAATACACACTACTTTAAGGTTTCTCGTGGTCAGATACACAGATAATGCTGAACGAGGGCCGACAGCTGAAGAACGAGCTTAGCCATCAGTATCTGCCTGAGTGTGCTACTTTTCTTTGACGTTCTCGGCCAAGAGAGCCAGAATCCTAAATATTTTATCATAAGAAGCAGATGCAAAGGGAAGGCTGCGCTCATATTCATTGACTGGAGCAGAGATTACATTCATATTCTTGTTGCAGAATGGAAGCACCCACTCTCAGCTGATTAATGCAGGGCTGTGATTCTGCAGCAAACTGGCTTCAGTAGTAAAGCAGGACACATGGCTTACAGTCTGGTCTGACCTAACTACGTCTCGTGCTTCTAATTTTACAGCCATTTTACGTCTCTCATGAAACTAACATAATGCACTTATTGAAAAATATCATGTAAAAATATATTAAGAATGTCTTTGAACATACAAAATGTTGAATGCACAAAAATGCAATAACTGTAGCAGGAAAAATAACCGTCTCTCAGGGTTTTGTGGTGTCTGATCTAGACTTGATCTAATGAGGTCTAGATGGAGAAAAAAAAACAAAATTTCTATCTAAATATGTCCATTTGTTTATGAGGTTGGAATTTGAGAAGTATCAATGCAGATTTTTTTTTTACTGTCTGCTGTTGTCAGGATGGAAAAAATATGCAGTGGTATTTTTTTTTTGTTTGATAAATAAAGGCCTCACAAAGTGGATTTCAAACAGTGTGAAGGTTTTACCTAAGAGAATCTTAAAACAGACAGAATGTTGCTTTATTGTATTGTTATTAATGTTTTATAGGTTTCCCACAGTCTGTGGTTTCCCCAAAGTTTCCCCTTTCAGCATTATGTTTGTAAGGCTGCCATAGCTTTTTGTAGTTACTGAATATTTAATATGTTTCATAGCCACATAATTAGAAGCTGTCGTTGCCACAAACTAATTCTTTAAGGAGGTTTCCACACAGAGGAAACCCAGGACTTGATCTCTGACAGACCAGCCTCGTGTTATTGGAAATATCCATAAAAAACTACTTCTTGACAAGAGTGTGAACCTTGTTTTACTTCATCCCAGCATCTATAGAAATTATACAGTAATGCTTTTAGCTTGGTCCATATGACTCTATGAGATTAGTTATCTCAACAACTATTGGCTCTATTGCCGTGCAGTTGGATACAAACATTCATGGTTTCCAGAGGATGAATCATACTGACCTTTCCTTTTCCTTGAGGTTGACATTTGTGTTTCCTAAGTGAAATGTCTTCACATAATTCAGATGTGTTGCCATGAAATTTGGTACAGACAGTGATGCACCCCTCGGGATGGATTTCACAAATTTTAATTAAGCACTACTTGCAAAACTAATGACATTTCTATCAGCCTCAGCTGCACTGGGTTTAATGCTAATTAGCAAGTATTATCATGCAAACTAAGGTGCTAAACCTGGTAAACATTAGACCTACAGAACATTAGTATCTTGTGGTGTTGCCCTGCAAGCATTAGCCTTTAGTTTATAGGTATAGCTTTGCAGAGCCATTAGCATGACTTTACATAATATATTAATACGATTGGTCTGTTCTACCATACGGCACAGCAATGCCACATTGCATTGCAAATATGCTATATTTGTATTAAAATATGCAATATTCATATTTGTAAAAGTACATATTTCATCTAAGTGTAATTATAAAGGACAGGGGCTGAAAGTTGACCTTTTGAAAATAACTCAACAAAGATCCAGTTAATCCAAAATGTCCGACGTTGTGGCAAATCTACCACTGTTACGTACAAAAAGCCAAACCAGATCTCTCTTTTTTTTTATTTTTCTCTATATTTTGTAACTGATCTTTCAACAAAAGAGAAGATGTGAGATGAGTTCTGACACTCGTTCATACAAATCTAAAGCCATTACAGTGCCACTCCCAGTGAGATCGATGTTAGAAATACAGATATTACGCTGCCAGTAGCACTCAAGTCTTCAAAGCCCAAGACTCTCATGTAATCTTAGACCAGAGTTCGATGAGGAGGCACGTTACCCACTGCTCTGACACGGGAACGTATTGATCAGTCTTCCCAGCCTCTCTGGCCTAAAGCAAACATAAAGGATGGAGCCCAGACTTTGAAAGGGTTGGAATCAGTGTGTCACCTGTATGTTCAAAGTGGACATATCTCATAGCTTCTCTTCCTCCTCCTCCTCCTTGCAGATCTGTCCAAGAATCGTCTCACAGAAATCCCCCCAGAAGTGTGTCTGTTCGCCCCCCTCGAGTCCCTCAACCTTTACCACAACTGCATCAAATGCGTCCCAGAAGCCATCATCAACCTTCAGATGCTGACTTATCTTGACATCAGGTGAGCCGGTGCTCTTTATATACGTTCAACAGAAGTGGGTGAGTGTTTACGTGCGCTCTGTTGTCTCTCAAGAGGTGTTTGTTCCCCTTTCAGTACACAAACAGGGCAACAAAAAAAAAGGCTCACATGAAAGAGACACGTTTCCTCTTTTGCTGAGAGTCAATTCCCAGTTACCGCATTCTCGCTGTTGCGTACTTCTGTGTGCTGTTTGAAATGTAGGTCAACGCTTTGTCTTTCTCCACAGCCGAAATCTCCTGTCAGTTTTGCCAAAATACTTGTTCAACCTCCCCCTCAAAGTTCTGCTTGTGAGCAACAACAAGCTCGTGTCCATCCCCGAAGAGATCGGCAAGGCCAAAGAGCTGATGGAACTGGTGAGCGGCGTGCATGCATCAGCGCTCGTGACATTATGAATGTTGTTCAGTCAGAGTAATCCCACTTCCTACACTTTGCCTCCCCTTGCAGGACGTGAGCTGCAATGAGATCCAGGTGCTGCCAGCTCAGGTGGGGAGGCTTCTAGCCTTGCGAGAACTCAACATCAGGAAGAATTGTCTTCACATGCTGCCTGAGGGTCAGTCTATCTCTCATGATGCTCTGTTTTTTCTTTCAATCTGACACTTTTGGCAAACATGCCAGTCCTCCCACGACAGAGCCCTCAAACATTGCAATACTTTTGCTCTACCTCGCAGCAACTTTTCTTCCTCTGACCCCTGGCCACAGTATCATGACACAGTAGTTTACATTGTGCAGCAGACCGCCGCTGGTTGTGACGATACTGAAAAGCAGTGCACCATCAGCTGAGGCACACAAATCTGCACCATTGCATTCAGAAAGGAGCTGCTTCACCAGCTCTTTCTCTGATGGCAGGCGAGGCGTACTGTAGCTGTGATTATGACTGTAGCCATGGGGTGGCGGAGCTGTCGCTGTAAATGTGGCTGCAGCCGTGGTTGTGCTTTAGTTATTACGATTCTGGCTGTGACACACTCATTTTTAATGAGTGTAACACTGACTACACGTAGCGGCTGTGTGTGTGTGCAGTGATGCCTGTCCTCGATGAGGTTCTGAAGTCCTGTGGAGCGTTTTTAACACATCTGTCATAGAAGCATCGCAGGTTAGAGTAGTAACAATTAGACATATCCAAAGCTCTGTGGATTGAACCATGAGGTTTGAACATTATATCCAGCTACTGCTTCAGATGGATACTGTCAAAGATCATCCATCCATTTTCTATACACCGCTTAATCCTCACTAGGGTTGCAGGGGGCTGGAGTCTATCCCAGCTGACTTAGGGCGAAGGCAGGAGACACCCTGGACATGGAGAGCCCACCACAGGGCTACACTTAGATACAGACAAGCACACTCACATTCACACCTATGGACAATTATAATCACCAATTAACCTTAGCATGTTTTTGGACTGTGGGAGGAAGCCGGAGAACCCGGAGAGAATCCACGCTGCACAGGGGAGAACGTGCAAACTCCACACAGAAAGATCCCAGGCGTCGTAACCGGGACACGAACCAGGGATCTTCTAGCTGTCAAAGATCAGCCTTCGAATTAGTAACCAGCACTAGATGCATTACGTGAAGTTCCACATCATCTCTCCGTTCTGTAGTATCTGCAGAGTGTTTGTCTTTGCTGACAATATAACGATCCTGTACCAACACGCCTACTGTTCATAAGGATCAGAAGGAATCTAAAGCATATTGCGAGAGAATGCAGAATTAGACCTGTAAACATTCTCACCGTGCCCTTTCAGTGACTCCAGACACCTCCAGAAACCTCTGCAGTGTTTGTTTTATCATTTGTGCAGCCAAGATGAATGAAACGGAACAGCTTGGAGCAGCCGGTGTTGTAACACAACAGAAACCAAAGGATCTCTTATGTGTCAAGCCACCAGCCATGCAGTCTTTGTTGTTTAAGTTTTAGAAAATTATTGATATCATAAGTCTCTCTGAGAAACTGTGACTTGTATGTGAGCGGGACATACATAGTGTTTTTAAGACATATATATTCACCAAGGTTGAACTCTGCTATGAAGGAGACAGCAGTTGCAGATACCTCTCCTCTTCCCATCCTCTGCATGCATTTGAATTAGAGTTCAGTTCAAAAATATTTCACAATCATACGAGTTGCCCTTGGAGGCTGCACATTTTTAATGGAAAATCTCAATGACAAAGAAGCTGGAAGATGTGAGAATTTCACCAGGCAAGGAGAATGTACTGCAGAGATGCTGTCAAGTTGTATTATGGGAATTGTAGTGTTTTTAGAGCTGTACCCACACTAGGAACAAAAAAAAAAAGAAGTCAGGATACATCAGAGTATCTGAGGCATCAATTTTTTCCTCCAGTGCCTTAAATTCATAGAACTGCAACACTAAACCTCTGGAGTTTTCCTTTAAATATCATGCCACTGCATATAAATTCAGTTCAGTTGTATTTATATAGCACCAATTCACAACGTAAGTAATCTCAAGGCACTTTACATAGCAACATGAAGATCTAACAAAATTATATTATAGAAGGATACCCAACCAATACAAAGATTCCCTTTGCACGAGCACTTTGGGGACAGAAGGAAGATAAAACTCCCCTTTAACAGGAAGCAACCTGCAGCAGAAGCACACTCAGGGAGGATGCTCACCTGCATCGATGACGGTAAACGGGAGCTTGAAAAGGATAGGAGATTTAAAAAAAAAAAAAAAAGGCACACACACACACACACACACACACACACACACACAAGCAACACATAAGATCAACAAATACGACCAATATGGACCTGGTTTAGTTTCTTCAGTGTTGCAGCACTTTGATCACCAGTATAGCAAAACGTACACGGTGATGGACGTTGTTTAATGGAAGCAGCAGACAACAAAAGCTGCCACTTAATACTTATCTCATCTGTGCTTTCAGAATTGGCTGACCTGCCCCTCATCCGACTTGACTTCTCCTGCAATAAGATCACAGAGATTCCTCCGGCCTACAGGAAGCTCAGGCAGCTGCAGCACATCATCCTCGACAACAACCCTATGCAGTCTCCGCCCGCACAGGTATCACTTCACGTTTGTCTTTGGGCCTCTGTGTGCTATAAAACATGTAGCTCGTGGATTTCCTGTGTGTGGATGCACAGCATGTGTTCATTATAAACCTGGTACAGTTGCACCACCTAGTGGATGAACGAACACATTTCGCTCCGTGGTGGCTGCAACAGCTTAGACTCTAGAGACACCTTGTGTACATTTGTGTGTTTCAGATTTGTCTCAAGGGCAAAGTGCACATATTCAAGTATCTGAACATCCAAGCGTGTAGGATGGACAAGAAACCGGACACCTTGGACCTCCCCTCCCTCGGCAAACGCTGCCTTCCACAGCCGCTTACAGATAGGTAACGACTCATTTAAAATTCTTCTTTTTTCATCATCAGGACATGCAGCATCTTTAAAAATGCAATTTTAGATAGATTTTTTCTGCATCTTTTTGTTTGTATATCATATCTATAACCATTGTTAGTTCATTAATTTATATGTGCGACAAAATGTGTCTTCATAAGATTGTTTTGCATCATTCCAGCATGGAGGATTTTTATCCTAGTAAGAACCACGGGCCTGACTCTGGAATTGGCAGTGACAATGGCGACAAGAGGCTCTCTACAACAGAGGTCAGTTTCAAACACACGGCACTATCTAATGGCATTGCCAGTGCTGTATATGATGAGCATGTTGTCAACATTTTGAGGTACATTGATGTGAAGATATTGATTATTCCTCCTGACACCGTTTTAAGTAGTGTTCAACTGTAGCCAGCAGGTATTTTGTTTGGTCAGTCTGCCGTTTAGCACCATAAATCTACAAAATGGACAGGCAATTGCACTCACATGGCGACTCCGCAGGCAATGCTGAAGAGGCTGAAATGTGATTTATTAGGTCAAAATTCTAGCCTACAGACGGCAGCCACGGCAAGATGGTCCACAGGGAACAAAGCAGGGATTCAGTGATTAAAAAAGAAAAAAAAAAAAAAAACTGGCTAAGGATCACAAGAAAAGGCAGGCAGACTAGACTAAACAATAGCTGAATAGATATTTGCAACAATCTGGCAAGAAGTGAATGCTGAATGGGCTCGGGGACAGAACGCGTAATGGGAAGCAAGTGAGCGGGCAGGTGGTCGATCGGGGGTGACTGTCTGAGGTGGGAAACTCAGCGAAGGTGACAGATGGAGAATAACTGAGTCTGGAATGGCAATAGAGGTTATAATCCAAAAAAAAAAAAGAAAAAACGAGCCTTGCTTCCTTGCTTGGTATTAAACAGTGCAGACAAACAAGGCACTCCTTTTCGAGTAACTTGAAGGCACTTGAAGGCTGAGTGCCTTGGCTACTCTCCATGCCTGTCTGCACCATTCAATTCAAAGGAAGACTGTTTGAATGTTGTTGTTGTTTTTTTGGCATTTTTACCTACTGTTAACGAGAACCTGTCAGATCAGCCACAAAAACAGTGCTGCCTTTTGTTCCTCCTTTGTAAACTGACAGTTGAGATTGTAAGGTGAAATTTACAGCTTTAAACCACATGTTAATGAGAATCCACATGTTCATGAGAATCCAGCCTCGTCTTAGACCCAAGTAGCCTCCCTGCGGAAAGTGAGCCAAAACATTGCAACACACCTCATTTTTTCTTGTCAGCAGACTAACATTAGGGACCGATATAAGATGTATACCTAAGAAATGTCTCTGTTTTGGAGGTTTGTCTGGCTGGATGCCTGGAGCTACAGCTATAACTCAAATACAATATTGGTGGGAGGAAATGAAAACACTTACATATAGTGATTAATACGGGAGCATAAATTACTACTTATGTCATGAATTTAGAAAAGCAACAAGACACAGACAGAACAGATGAAGTAGAGGGTGAATTGGGTTAAACTTTGATACACAACGGTTGCCACACAATGCTTTATTTGGTTTTTAAATGTGAAAACAATGCTCTACCTAAAATGCAGTTAAATACATGAATTTGACCCAAACTTCCTTCTCCTGCAGCCTTCAGATGACGACACAGTCAGCCTGCACTCTCAAGTTTCAGAGACAGCCCGTGCTGACGCCCTCTCACTCCTTTCGAAAATGGACTCTTGCAAAGGTTACCGAAAATAAGTATCACATATTCCCTATGAAAGCAATAACAGAGACACGGGGTTGTTGAATGAAGTGCCTAAAATGTGACAGTTTATGTGATGAACGCGGATGCTTCCTCCCTCTATCAGATCAGGATCTCTATGACTTTATAGAGCCCAACCCCGATGAGGATCCTGCTCTGTCAGAGTGTGATGGGCAGCAAAGCAGTCATGTGTCTTGTATTAAGGTATGAATCTATCCATTTGTTTTAAAGGATCAAGAAAAGAAAAAACAAAAAAAGCATAAATGGATATTCCATGGAGGAGAAGGTGAATTTTTTATTGACTGGTCCCTGACATGGTGTGTCTGGATGTGTTTCAGGAACTGGAAAAAGTTCTTAACATGTCTCACCAAAGCAAAGATAAAGACTGCTGGAAAGAGGAGTCTGGGTAAGTTTTTTTTTCTTCAAAGCGGCTGTCAAAACAAACAGCTTGCCTCAGTGTGTCTTTGTACCTCTGGTGCCTGAGAAAACACAATTTCTCTTTCATTACAGCCATTACAAAGTGCACACAAATCATGTTTGTGCAAAGACTTAACAAGATGAAGTCTGTGGAGTTTCCTGTTTGCGCATTTTAAGGAGTCACTTGGGCTTGCAATATGTTGTGGACCAGTCAACCAATTGTCATTGACATGAATAAGGTTAAGATTTTTAAAACAAGAATATGCACAGAAATGTGGTGCAGTGGCTCTTTTAAAGTTTTATTGTAACTCTATATTTGTAATTGAACTTTTTTGTTTTTAAGTCAGCCTAATTACAGATATTTGTATGAGAAAAGATTTTCTTTAGATAAACTTCTGAAAATCATTAGGGTAACAACTGATCTCTGCACAAACTGCCCTGATTGAGAAATCCATCTGGGTCTTTTATGTAAATGTGAGAAAATCTGGTAGCACTGTTTGCAATTTTTCCAAATAGGCATACTCATCAGCAGTCTGTAAAACATCTGTAAATCATTTCTATCCTGGAAACACTCATGATTTACTGTCCATTGCATCAGTGATTAATCATCCGGTCATGGGTTTATTAGTTTAACTACATGCCTATGTCTAAAAGCCTTTGTATTTTCTTTTATTTGTAGTCTTTGAAGTTTAGAGTTTCTAAAAAATATCACCTTTGATCTTCAACTTTTCCCAGTTCTGATAAAGAGCAGCTAGTTGAGGAAGAGGATGATGAGCTGAAAGAAGTGCTGGATCTGAGGAAGATTGCTGTTCAGCTCTTGCAGCAGGAGCAGCAGAACAGGTTCGTGCAAGATTCACTTGTTTTCTATTTATATAACAACCGTCTACGTTTGCTGCACTGCTTGAATCAACCACTGTCTTCTCTTACTTTGGCCTTACTCTTCATCATAAAACGGGCATATCCATTTGTGGTCAGGCCAATGACTTACAGTTTTCACGTCGGAACACTGACTTACAGTATACGACAGAAATGGGTTCATCCATGTGCTGTATCACCTAAATATTAAATCATCATTGTATAGTTGTATCACCTCTGAATAACAGGAAGATCAGTGACCAATGGAAAATCAAAACACAGCTGCAGCAGTAACCAGGAGGTACAGAATGAGCCACAGAGCTGCTAATCAGAGCTGCAGTGGCTGTCACAAAATCTCATGTAGCTCTGGAAAACAGACCGGCAAGTGCTTCTACCTTTGCACATGGGTTGTCAAAGGAAATCTAAGTCTTTGCAGCAGTTCTGACAGTGCAAAAGACATTGTGTAACATCAACCTTTATGGATGCAACATCAGACTTTAAAAAAAAAGGAAAACAACAATAAAACAAGATCATGTTCTTTGGTCAGCAGAGACCAAGATAAGTTTGTTCAGGTCAGATGGAGTTCATCGTGTTTGACGTTAACCTGGCGAGGACCACCACAGTGAATGTATAGTCCCATCAGTGAAGCACAGAGGAGGGAGTGTGATGATACGTGAGTGAAGATGTGTTGGGGAGACGACATGTATGGATGACATCATGAGTGCATGTGAAATGCATGACTTCCAAATGCAATAAAACACTTTGGGGGTATTTTAAAGAGAAAGACTGGGCAAGACAAAGTGCAGCCAAAAAGAAAATGGACTTGGAACATCTCTGCAGAGATTTGTGGACTCTGCTATTCTTCATGTCACGGAGGATCGAGTCTGTCATCAAAAATAATGGTGGACGTATCAGGTATTAAAAAAGTAAAAGACTTTTGTTGCATAGAGTTCCTAGTAGGGTGGCTGTGTTTTTAACACAGTGAAATGAAACTGTTAGCTCACTTAGAAATAATGCAGTTTCTGTATGGTGATGGTTTCAGTCATTTGACATGTAAGTGATTTTGCACATGGTTGAACTCACTTCTGTTATGTACCGTTCCCTGAATACAATGAGTGACTCCTACTCAGAGCAAATGTAAAAAGATCGTCCTTGTGCTTATAGATTCGTCCTCTGTTTCTCAGTGTCCAGACAGATATTTTCTCTTCACATCTCCACGTATCGCTCCATCAATGCCATTATACGTCTTTCGCCTCTGCAAACGCGAATCCTTATCAGCTTTACTTCACTTACTCGCTGCTGCTTTTCTCTGATCATCTCTTCTTCCTTGCTTTCTCCCTTGACTCGGCTTCTGCACCTCTGATTTATGGCCTCTAGACGGCGGTCTTTAATTTGCAGAGCAGAGAGTCTCATTCACCGACGGAGAGTGACTGGCCGGGCTCACAGGTAGAGGGATTTTCATTATCACAATTTTCAGACTGTTCAAGCACTGCTATTGAAACATACATTCCCATACAAGCTTTATTATATTCTTTTCTTTTCTGTGTGTAAGAGTGTGAGGAAACGTGAGCTGTTTTAAAAACTTTCCCATCTTACAAGTGGAAATAGCTCACTTTTCCAGTGAACCAGTTTGTGCAAGCTTTGGTAGACACTGTGTGAATCAGTGCCACTGAATGATTTGGCCTAAACGTACACTTATAAAATAATGACATCCATCAGGCAGACGAAAAGTTCCATGTTGCTCAAATACTGAGGTTTCAGCTGAAGCTGACTCAGCTCATTCCCTTTTATTATTACAGCAATATTGTAAGTGATTCATCCTGAAAACACGTTGCATGCGTCCTTTAAAGTGAGCTAACCCTGTTTTAGCACTTTATCACGCAGGACTGTAAGTATACCTGCACATGTTTCCCTCTGCAGATTCCTCAGTCACTCTGGAAGCTCCAGCAGCAAACCAAGGCTCCCGCCTCAGACAGCTCGCAGGTGCGTACTGTAGCACCACAGTCCAGTGCTGCTGAACGGAAGCAAACTATAGACACGGAAGTTTTTGATGCAACAGTTTATCTCAGCTCAGAAAACACCAAATTCTGAGGGAAATATTTCTTCTTTACTATGATATAATGGGTGCTCCAGCAAGCATTTTCAGCTACTACACCAAAGCACAATATTACATGAGCAAGTATATATAAGAGAGAACAGCTGTTTGTCACATTTTAGACATCATCAAGTGGCTTTTGTGAGTGATAAATCAT